AAAAAAAAAAAAAAAAAAATACTTTACAGCAATTGGCGGAATGACAGCTTGTTTTCGTTCGATCGCGGGAAAAATATTTTTCAAAGGAGAGAAAAAACGCCTCGCTTTGGGTCGTTGATTTTGCGGCTACGTATCGTACCGCGACCTCGTATGCAAATCGATCTTTCGCGTTCGAGGCTGTTTCGATTTCTGACGCAAGCTGTACACGTCGAAGAATCGCTTTCGCGTTTGTCTGTGTCATGAAACGCGTTTACACGCGTAGCGTGTGCTCGGGTCATTCCCGAGCATCGCGAGTTGCCGGAAGCGTATCGGACGCGCCAGGATATTTCGTAAGCTCGAACCTCGTTAGCATTCTATCCTTTAATTCCCGTCCTCCGTTTTTCCGCCTTTTCTCTCCTCCTCTCGCTCGCTCCTGCTCTCGCAATTACCGATTTCTATCGAGCCACGTGCCTTTAATCGCCCGACACCCCGTTTCCATCACCCCGTTCGAAAGCTATCTTCCACGGCCGAGCATCTGCCTTGACTCCATTCCACTTTTAATTCCGTCAGTTTCGCACGCGATACTCGTCGCGTTAACAAACGCGTGCTGCATTATATTAGTAACGCGACCGAATTCGTTCTTTGTTAATGGAGCGTCGCAGAATCGCGATAAGAGGCTTGCATATGCATCGTGTGATTGACACTGACGTCGATTACGAGATGAATACTACTTTGATTCGCGATAGCAGCCCGTTCGATACTCGAGTAATGAATACTCCTCGATATTCCTGTCGACGTTCGCGTAGGCCAAATTTAAATACGTTCCATATTTTCCGACGACCGGTCCCACTCGAAGCGAGCCAAATCGAATCGGATCGAATGGAATCGGATTGAATCGGATCGAATCGATTCGTTCCGAATCGAAATGAATAGAATCGATGCTTTACCGTGCCGCGTATCGCGCATACGTACGTACCTATGTACATAACGAGCTAATGTTACGTTTCGCTGCTTGATTCCACGCGTTATCGGTTTACTTATTCGCGTAAAAGCTGCTCGATTACGTTACGATGACCTACGTTCAGTGGTGAAAGTTATTCCTCCGAACGGTGCATATCGCGTTCACTCGCGAGAGTACAATCCTGCCGATACACGCATACAGCAAACGGGGGTTTTATCGCGGAGAATTTCCCTCTACCGGCAACGTCAACGAGCCAGCCGGAAACTTGTTTCTCTTCGTGTGTACATAAATATCGAGGAAAGCGTAGTCGTGTATGCTACGGCATTCGGTACCTACGTGCGAAAATGCCGACTCCGCCCAGATCGAAGAAATCACTCGCCCCGAAACCCTCAGTTTCCGAAAGAGAAGAGAAGTCTTCCGCTCGTCGAAAACTTCCCTTTGAAAACTTCTTCCCATGACCGTCCTTTCTCTATTCCCTCTTCTTCTCCTTCTTCTACTGCTACTACTACTACTACTACTTCTCTGCATCCGCTTCTTTCGTCTACGCTACCCGTGTCGTCGTTCGAGCATGTATACATACGTGTACACCGATTTAACGGTGCCTCTTTATCCGTTTTCCATCGGGTAGAACGAGCTGGCCTGCCGTGGTACGATGATCCCTCGGAACGACGAGCCGCGCGTATCGAGGATAGTCAGCGAACCTGGTCGTGACCCCCGTCTCTCGCAACATTTTAACTGCAGCGTGGATCTGCTCGAAGGAAGGAGTACAGGCACAGTCGGTCGTTTCGCCGCGATCGTATAATGGATTATAGGGCACGAGGGTCGCGAGCGAACGACTGCGAACAGCTGCGCGACCCTGCCACAAGGTGAGCGTTTACAGGTCGCGTACAAATATCCCGCATCGTTGCGGCAAATATGTACGCGCGAGACTGTAACGGGGACCAGACTTTTATCGTTTTATCACCGCGAAGGCCAATCCTCCGACGTTTCGAATTCCGTCCTTCCGCGAGCTTATACAGCAAAGACACTTTAGATTCCGTCGCCATCCTCTCCAGTCCTTGAAATCGCAGTTCACGTGTCGAGCGTGTCAAGGATGTCGAGTCGAGTCGCGTCGACGAGTACGCGATTATGCTCGCGTCCGCTATCGATATCTCGCTCGCGAACGTGCGTCTGCCTCGCTCGCGCGAATTCCGAAATATCTACCCGCCCAGATAAGCGTCCCGATATGGTCCCAAACCACGGACGCTTAAGCGGGCAGTGCCGTATTTACCCTTTACTTCTCCGTCGAGCTATTTGACTACTCGGTGAGTAAAGTCGACCGGCGAATGAGCGATAAATTCGAAGGGGGACGCGCAAATATATACGATCTATATGCTCCGTGTCATCTATGAGGTACCGAGAAAACAAACATTGATTCTCGGCTCCCTCCGTTCCGACGTGATTCAATATTTGTATTTCCCCGATGAAAGTGTATCATCGCACATCAATCAAGAGGAACAAACGCTCGCCAAAATGTACATCGCGCGATCTTCGACTCGTCGATTACGATTTACGTTTCACGCGCCTTTGATTCCTCTGCTTTTTCCTCTTATTCCTTTTCTCTTCGCTCCCGTCGATGATTACGAGGCAACGGCTCCGTAAGCAGCTCGATAAAACGGTTACCCGCGCGAGTATCTCGGCAAAACGAAGGCGCCGTGGAATCAACGATTCCCGTTCGAGAGAGACTTCCTGTCTAGGCTTTCTCGCGAAGCAAATTATAACGTTCGTGGAAAATAATATTGTCGACGGTAATAACTGGGAAAAAGAAACCGGAGAGAGAGAGATTCACCGACTCCCGTACTCCACTTTCGTCGTCTTCGGTATAGAGACTTGTTTCCTCGCTTATCAAATCGTTCAGCTCAGGCGTAACGTTCCAATTTCACTTGAAAATGCGAAACGCCTCGACATCGTTATTCGATTATATCGCAGACCTTCCTCGCGTATCGTTCGGCTCTTTCCTATAACTCGAGCGTCAAATCATTGTACTTGCGAGGAAATAACACTCCGTCTACGACGGTACGACGCGTAAACGATGTTAGACATCGAGATAATTGGCTTACACCGGTTAACCACACCTCGATTCGACTACCGAGTATCGACGACATCTCGACGCGTCTCGAGAATAAATCGAGAATAAAAATACCATCGGTTATAACGCATAGAACGACCGATAATGCCGCAGGATTCCTGACATTTCTCATTTGTACGCGAATTTAATCTATTCGGATGGTATCGAGAGAATTGATTCAATTTCTCGATCGAATTCTGACCGACTCGTACAATATCGTCAACATCGGAATTAAATACAAACGAAGCAGAAGAAAAGAAAAATGCGGGGGGATTTACGTTGGGTAGAAACGAGGACGACTGGAAAGTTGGTATTACAATGCAGCTGCAAGCCGTCGTAAATTGCTCGATTCGGGATATATCGTTCATTATATCCTAAATAATTAGCAACTTGTTGATTGTCGTTATTTCTCGATAAAGCTGATTAAACGGTTGCGATGTCGCCCAATTACACAACGACGGTTATAAACCTTAATCCGTATCCCCGTTTCACGGTGGAAGGAAATCCGAGTCTCGTCTTGAGTCGTTTGAATATTTCCAATGTCGTATGCAAGCCACGCAGCATACCACGAAGAAACACGTTACGATCGTTGCATAACGAACTCTCTTGGTTGGCTGGTAGAAAGTGAAACTCCGTGTAACATTGACTCGTAACGCGGTGGTTAAGTAGAGAAACCAACGACGAGAAATATTCGTGGAAACGTTTCGACGAGGATTCGAGCGTTATAAAACGTTACCTGTATACAGCTTCCCGTATAGTTTAAGGAAATAAAGCTATCTATTGTAATACAGCGAGATTGAAACCAGTCAAGACGCCGAAATAAAATATAAAATATGAATCCGCCTTATTACTTTCCCGCTACTTGCATTCGCCATTATATTACTGTCCTCGCTTCTGACGTCATAGTCGTAGACTTTCATACTCATCCCTCGCCGATTCTACGATTCTTTTCATTTTTATACATCATTCTCGGTTCGAGAGAGCCAGTTTCGCGAGTAACATTCGATCTAGACGATTTAGTCGCTAGAGCGATACGAATACGATCGATACTAACTTCCCGGGCAATTTATAGGCTTAACCCCTTCTCCTACAATATCGCGCGATACACGTGGTAAGGTAATCGGACCAAACACGTGTATCACGGGCAAGAACCGTGGTTCGTAGATAGGGCCCAACGTAAACATCACGGGTCAAATTCGTGATTCATTTTCGTCGATGTCTTTCTGTCTCGGTTGCGCGTTTCTCTCTGCCACGTTTTCACAAAGTGGCTGTTGACTATGGTACGCGCTATCGATTAGCTTAAATGGCAAGGCAAGGGGTTAAACCGAATCGAAGAACGCGTGTCGAAGAATGCTAGCCTTTTTATATTTCGGAAAACAAACTTTATTGCCTTGCATATACGTTATCTCGACGTGTATAAAGAACTGCTTACGTGTAAAACACTTAACGATTAACTATTAACGCTAATGATAATAGCGGTGTTCCGTGAGAAAGAAGGTAGTTCGAAATGCAAAAGGACGCGTGTCTTTGAAACGACTAACTCGATACCATTCGCAAATGTACGAAGAAAAACGATTTAATCATCGATGTCAGGTGTATACCGATCGTTTAAACGGCTATTCTAAGCAGATCCTCCATCTGCAGCTTTCCGTGTTTTATCTTTTCCCTTTTTATCGACGTATCCAGCATCGTCGTTTTCCCTTCAGCTGCTCCCATTATCCCTCGTCTTACGAAACTCCGGCATACTGCTGCACTATCTTCGACCACTCCTTTGGATAGGTTCGCTGAATGTGTGAAAGGACCTTCTTGATCTGTCGTGTTTCCTCGGGGCTACATTGCGGGCAGGAGCCTCTCAAAACCAGTGGTGCTAAACCTGGATAACAACGCCCGGGTTAAATCGAATTCTGCTGGTAACTTTATAGAAATTTATCGGCGAAGTCTTCGAGGAAACACACGGCTCTCGAAATACGGATATAAATCCGATCTAAGCAATTCGATGACTCGCCGTCCGGAACACTGCGGAGTTTGCCACGAAATGGGTTTAATTCCGACAAAGATTAATTTATCCCGTGAATCGAAGAAAATATCGATTCCCGCGTTCCCATATCACACCCGACACTCTCGACTCCCTTTTTCCAATTCCTGGACCGATTCGAAATTCCAGTACGAGTCATCTAAGTTTCACCGCGATACCTCACGTTATACAGCGCGGAGGGCGGTTTATCACCCGAGACGACCGCGAAATCTCGATTATATCGAGCCATAGATCATCTCCCGGCGAGCTAACGCGATCATACACGTACTTTTTAAACGTCTTCCGACCGGGTCACAGGGAGCCTCTCCTAGCGCGCATTTCAGCTGCCTTCTCAAGTAACGTTGGTCGCTTAAAGCCATATTCAATTGTTCGTCGGTGACTCGCGATCTTCCAGTCTGTCCTTCTTCCGATTCTGCCACCACGGTGTAGACGAGCAAAGCGCAAGCGACCAACAGCAGCTGAAACATAGTTCAAGATGGTTAAGTGCACGAGGCTCTATGCAAATAGACGTTGCGCCAACTATCTTTAAAAGGTACAAAGACACTTTCCGTGCGTCTAAGCACGAAACAATTAAGGGAATTCACGGTTAACGAGATTGAGTGCCATGTACCCGTTATGTCGAAGCAACGGCGTAATTTCCACTTTCTATATTTATTATCAATGTCGCTTGTTTAATTGTCACGAAGTATCGTGTGTCGGAAACGAAAACGGGATCACGGTTTGCAGAGTTTTCGTTGAAAAAGAAAGGAGCCTGGAACATAACGGAAGAACGGGTAACAGGTAAAGGAAAACGAAGAGAGTCGGCGGATGTGACGCGGCAAAGGTCGGAACTTGGGAATATACCGGTGGAATAGAGAAAGGGGATAAGGAAAGGTTAACTGTAGACAGCGGCTACACGCTGGCCTGGCGAAGCACGCCAAAGCTAACATAGCTAAACAAGCAGTAACCACCGTGAGTAACGACGGCATGCGCGTACCTACGACTTCCTATCTTCCTTCCGACTATCCTACCCTTCGACACGCTTCCCCGTGTTTCGTTGCATTGGTACATCGTGTACGTCAACCGGTTAACGAGTTAGCTTTTAAATTACTTTGTCCACGTCTACCGTGAAGCGATGCTTCGCTTCAACGGCGTCCACTCGGTGCTAGTAATAAGAGCTCATACTAGGGAATGTCACGCGAGTGTCGTTGCCGTGGCGAAAGAGCGCGAGAGGAAATTGTTGCTCGCGTTATCGCGAAGGAAAATTGGGTGGAAATGAAATTTGAAAATCACTTTACGGTGCAAGCGTCTTCGATGTCATCGCCACGAATCGACCTATCGCTTCGAATCTTCGTCATACGTCGCGTTCTGCTTTCCCCGACAATTTTCCCTTTACTCCCGAATCGTCCAATCGCTTGTCCATCATCTAAAAAGTATGGAGCCAGCCGGTGGACTCGAGGGACGTAAAAAATAGCGCCTATTAGATCGCAGCTGCTTGACGGATGAATATACTTTCGTGGTATATTCGGAATCCTGTGCGCGCGACACTCCTCCTCTTTTTTCCATTCTTTTGACACGCGCCGTGACGAATATTTCAAAGTTCGATTTTATTTTCGTCGCGCTGTACCTCTCCATCCCATGCACCGCCCCCTAAACGATCGAGCTCGTTTTTAAACAACTCGCATCACAATCCGGAACACGTCTTCCTCTTTTTTCCCCTCTCCGATGTCGTTTTGATTTTGCCAACTATCCCCAATCTGCTTTCATCCTAAATTACTCGCGAATTCCCGAGAGAATACCGAGCGCTTTGTCGAAAATCACGCGTTATTGGCGAAATTTCCGTAAAATATCCGATTCGTACACGTTTTCGATAACACCTGGCCCGCGAATCGCTGGAAAGCGATAGAGCGTGATCATCGGTCCTCGTGACTTTTCATCGGTTCTACATAACCGCTATAATCGACCGGATTCTTGGACCGGATCGGTGGCGAGTTTCAATTTTCCTATAGGCATGCTAATAATCGCGACGGTTCGGTAAATCACCACGAGCCTGTATATACACGGTCGGGGATGATTTGTGGATTGGATGCGGGCTCGGGTGCGCGCACGCAAACCGCTTACTTCCGCAAATCGATGTGGATTATAAGAATTATTGGCCGCTCTAAATGGCAAATGGGTGTGATATAGATTTTATTGCTGTCACGTCGGGTGTAACGATAGCAACCATAACGTTGCTGGTTATTACGTCCGAGCGAGACGCTGAAGGTTCCTCTCTCGTCCGTGCATTCCGCCCGTGGATCCTACGTATGCTCCGTTAATTATCGTCACAGTCTATGAATGATAATTCACCGCTTAAACGAGATGCCTGGAAAATTCGCACCGTCCGTAGCCGTAATATTCGCGCGCACGCGTACGAGTACGCGACTCGTTCTCCAACTAGTACACCAAATACACCGCCGATAAATAATAATTTATCGTTCGTATACGGCTGGCCGAAACGCAGCGCTGTTTCCAGTTATTAAATTAATTTACAATCGCCTAGTTATCGACTCGCGCCCGACGAACAACAATTACACGGCCTTGCGATTCTCGCCCGGTTCTCCCTCGATCGCGACAATGCGTTCAACGAATTACAATTCGTCCGATGAATTACGATTCGACGTACGGAACAGGACCAGCGTAAATATCGAACGGTGCCGAATTCGACGAGAAACCATCCTCGGTTCCCGCCAATTCCACGGCGCGCGATAAACTTTCCCGATTTATCTTTTCATTTTTCCAACGGCATACATCAAGGTTTGCTCACGGCGATCGAATCGCGAACGAGCAGCGCGCGGAATCCTTCCGATCGGCTTGTTATTCCACGCAGCTGCCGTTTCCGGGTTATATACGTAAACGCGCGATTGCGATACGCATAAATTATAAAGATTGCAATGCCGTCGATAAACGAATTACGATCCGATCGCGTGTGCGAAGTCCAGGCTACGTGCTGGAATTTAGTAATTCTTCCTTCTCGCCATCGTCATCGCTCATTATTATCCTCCTTATTCCACGCTCCAGCCATGGAAGACGAACGCTTCGCGTCCGCTTTTAGATCGCACGGAACATGCGAATCGTTCGAAACGAACGCGAGCGAGCCTAACCGATATCCGGTTTTCGAAAAATGCACAACCGAAAGCAGGTTGGCTCTCGACGTTTATTGGTTCTTTAATATCGCAAGGATTTTCACCGTTCGGACGAGTCGGAACCCGTCGCGAGTTTTTCCCGAGTGCGCTTATCGTCCCGCGGAACGCGTACATTAATCCAAACGGTACACGGTTACGCTCTAGATAACTGGTCTCCGTATCACGGTACGTATAGTGGCACTTTGGATCGTATTACAGGAAACTGTCTGACATGATGGCATGATTCGATCGCTTCGCTTCGGAAAAGCCTCAAAAGTTGCACGAGGACAAGCAGGGAAAGCGGATATTCCGACGAAGCACTTACATAACGTGTACATATTAGGTACGTCGTCGAAAGCGAGCGCTTACGCGAGAAAAGTATCGATACGAAATAATATTCGACGTGTATCCTGTGACACAGTCGTAAACCGAAATCCCGGCAGGAAGGATTACCGCGATAATGGGTTACCTAAACCGGTACCGCGACCGGTATTCGCTAGCGAATCGATGGAGAAAAGTTAGAGGTGTATACGTGACTTGGAAAACACCGATTACCTCCGGCTGATCTTGTAAATATTCAAGGTGGAGGAAGCCGCGATCAGCGTCAGTATCGAATTCACCGGTCGCGTACGGAAGCAACCACCCCTGCGGGAACACCGAGAGTGGGTCCCGTGACGACGGACTAGGGGAGAAAGAGAGCGAGAGACGGAGAGAGCCCCTACGGATACCGGGAAACTTTAAATCACCGAGCGTACGTGTACACAGGGTGCGCGTGTATCTACCTGTTGCACGTTCGTCACTCACTCACCTTGATTGCCGAAGCCATGTCGGGAGTTGTTGATGCGCGATGGATTTCCTGCGATCGCGGTCCTTCTGGAACGGCGCGAAGAAGAATGCTAGGACCGAAGAGACAAAGATAAAGAAACGTAGGAGCAAATAAAGGAATAAAGGATGTTAGGATCGAGCACTCACTGGTCGAGGTGTCCTCTCACCGCGAAATCTCGGAACGCACTGGCCCGAAGGTACAGTCCGTGGCCTTTCCTCCCCTTCTTCTCCCGATAAATACGAAAGTGTGTGTAGCGGCCGACGACGTGATGATATATACCGGTAGTTCTCCATCTCTGGACACCTCTCTGTGTACCGGCCGGTTACGAAGTAGGGGAAGCTGAGACATGCGTGAGTATGCGCCGTACAAGTTGCACTTTTCTCTCCCCTTAGTTCTCGGTCTTGCACTTCGCTCGTTAAACTTCCTCCGACCCGTTGCGCTTTCTTTCCTCGACCGCTCGAATCGTGCCACTCCGCGCGCCACTTTACGCGCGCCACTCCACGCGTCCGCTTTCTGACGCTTTCCGACGCTTTCTTCCCAAACGTTTAACCTCCTTCCAGACACTTGCTTTCCTACCGACTCTTTCTGCCCTTCGTCGCCTGCATCATATCCATTCCGTGTATCAAACGGCGACTCCAACAATGCCTCGTATATACCAGCGACCGGCGTCGATCATCTCGTCGAATTTATGGATTTACGAATTTATGAACTTTCACGAGCGACGACCCGCGTAATGGCCTGTTTTCCCAGCTCCTACATTTTTACTCTCCGCTCTGCTATTAATCACCCGAGGGCTTCTAGGTGTCGTCGCAGAGAAAAAGCCGTATCGATCACGCCGATCGTTAAAACCGGTTGTATCTCTGCTGCGACCTAAACGCTTCTTCCGCATCCCCGTTCGTTTATTTCTCCCGCGTGGTCGAAGGAGGAAGCGTGGATCGTCGCGAGGTCGATAATTTCCACTAGGCCCGAGACGATGCTCGTTCTTGCTTTCGTTACAACGGAAGATCCAAGGAAGTCGTAATTAAGTTTGTCGCGTGTTTACTTCATTTACGATGAAGATATCGCCACGTTCAGCCGTATTCTGGAAACCGTGCTTCGTTTTACCAGCGTCCACGACGATTTGGAAAATCGTGGAAAGCAAGTGACGAGAGGGAGCGAGGAGGAGAAATTCCGATAAAGCCGCGGATTTAACGGACGATCGAGCCGATGCGTTCTCGCGATCGAACGTGTGTGCCTGTCCACGACGATAACAGCCGGCGAATTGGTGTGAAAAAAATGGAGTAAAAAGAATAGCGGGGTGATCTAGCGTAAAATACGATTAAGCTGTTCACCGAAGGTAGACGCCGGTAAGAGGGAGAAGGAAAGCGTAACGAGAAACTGACACAGAACGGAGAGAGTGCGGATCAACGAAAGTCCGACGCGTTATCGAAACGAAACGATACAATACGAAGCGGTACGAAGCGATACGAAGCGATACGAAGCGATACGAAGCGATACGAAGCGATACGAAGCGATACGAAACGCAGCGACTGGAATAGAGACGGGCGGGTGGTGGAGATTGTGCCTTGTATCGATAAAGATTACACGGGCAGGATTCATTCGTCGATCTACTTTCGATCCAACGAGGGATCGAGCTTCGAAGCTTTTGCGGCGTCAAGGGAATTCCTGGTCGATGCACGTCCCCCAATCCTCCCGCGCTCTCGCACCTTTTTTCTTCCCTATTTTTATTCCTTCCTCTCCTTTTTTTCATCCCCGGGAGTCACCTCTCTGTCATTGGCCTCCTCCTTTCTTTTTCCCCTTTTCGGTGATTCGTTGTCGAGAGCCGTTTGAATAGGCGGATCGTTTTCGAGACGATCCGATTCGATTCGATCGGTCGAACGAAACGGATTCGTCGTACGACTAGCCAAAGGAGAAAGGAGACACGAAGGATCGATGTGGTTCATTGTCTTCGCAGTCACGTAACGTGATTCCTCGTCGGCTGATTTCGTCCTGCGGTAAATTTATCTGACCATTCCACCAGAGACCGTTTAAGATCATAATGGATCTGTTACTCTTTCGGTTCCCTTTCCTCTCGTCGATAAGACGAAACGGACGCGTTTCGGAAAGAAAAGATAACGCGCAACGCGCGAGAATGTCCCCGTAAGAGCCTGCTGGTAAACGTGAAAACGATCCAGCAATCCGGAACGGTTGAGCAACGCACGCCGTCAAGTTTCCGCAGGTTACGCACCACCTAACGCCGACTGAAATTCACGATGAAATTCAGCCGCCGCTCTATGCTCCATTGCTTCGAAAGAACATGCGTATTCGTTGATTTCGGCATACCATGGACCTTGAATGATAAACAAATACAACGTTAATTGGCTTAGTAAGCGAACCAACTGGTTACTACATTGCGAACAGAAAGGATTGAACCTTGCTTCGATTCCTTCGGGGAAAATCCAGGTGAACGGCTATAAATATAACTTCTATGGTATACGGTCTGCTCTTTTTTCTCTCTTTCTTTCTCTCTCTCTCTCTCTCTCTCTCTCTCTCTCTCTCTCTCTCTATTTATCTCTGTCTCCCTTTTCCTCTCTCATCGGAGTTATGTTAATTTCGTTTGAGTCGCGGCAACTTTACCGGTCACCGTTCGTTCACTTTCTCTGGTTTCGTCGAAGCCAGTGCGTAACCGAGACAGGAAACGACGACGTAACGTCCTTCTCTTCGTGGCTGTTGTTACAGGTGAAATTACGGTAGCGTGGCGTGCACGCGGGATTCACTTCGTTCCGACCGGATACGCGGCAATGTCAGCGTATCCGACCGTCCTATGCAACGCGTCGCCGGACGCTGAAATGTCGCGTGAAACCCTTACTTTCCCAGCAACTTCGTAATATCCGAAATATCATCGAGCGACGAGACTAAAAAGGCCGCAACCGAGATCCCATTTAATAACTTTAACAGGGCTTAACGCCTAAAATCGATTATTCAGGTCGGCCAGCGTTGGCGCGTGAAAATTTCCTGACGTTACACGTCTCCGGCCGCTAAACAGTCCGTCGAAACGTCGAGCAGACGCTGTTGATAGAATCACAGGATGCTGAAGGGGAAGAACAGCGGCTGGCGTCAAATTTAGAAGCGCGTCAGGCCCTCCTCTCAACCGAATGCTCCGATTGGACGTTTCCGATGCGATCCCGAGTCTTGTCAAACTAGAAATTCCAAGATGAAAGTTCACTGGAACGCGTCATGGTCCGCCAAACGCGCGCGTGTATGTACTTACGTCGACTGCTGCTTCCACGAGAGAAAGTAGGAAAAGTCTGAATATCTGTCGCCGAATAAACGCGAAAGTACTTACCCAGCGAGAACAAATTGCACGCGGTTATTCACCTTGTGCCGATATGCGATTATTGGGCTGTCGATCGATTGCGCTCAGGGTGTAAGCAATTTTCGCTTCTTATGAATTTCGACAGAGCTCGCCATTGCTCGAAATTACACGCGGAAAAATGTATTTTGCTACGCTTTCAGAGGCGCGATCGAACGCAACCAATGGACACTGACACGGGACGATAACGCGTAAAAATCGGTTCAGCGTCAAGCCGCAATGCTCGCCTTGTTCCTGTCAGTTTCAACAATTGCCACTGTAATTTCGCTCCATCGCCCTCTCGCTTTATTGCTGGACCTCTAACACGATGGGCAAAAATCGCTCCGTCGAAATATCTAGTCGATGACGATCTTTGTATTCGACCAGCTTCGCTGGCCAACCAATGGACACCGTTATATCCTGAAATATAGGTTAGACTTAAAAATTGATATGGACCTAAATAGTTTGTATTTTCAATTCGATGCATCTTTTTAACGTCGTACAAAGAACCTGGCATGTACATTTTCTACGATGTTAAGATCGAAGCTGGATAAGTGCGAGAACGCTGTATCGAGAATAATTTCTTTCGCTGCTACGAAAACCTAAGTACGTGTATCACACGACAAGGTAGCGAGGTATGAATCACGAACACGAGCGTGCGAGCGAGCGAAAGATTTGATCGCGACGCGAATCTTTCGATACATTCTACTGATGAAACGTTCGTCGGTAACTGCAGCTTTCTATAATTCGCGCAAATCGCTCGTTCTTATTCAGGACACGCGTATGCGCACGGCAGATTGATTGGCATGCCGTATTTGTTTGGGAAATGCCGCTATTTGTGGAATCCATTTGCGTCGTTCTTCGATTGCCACATCTCGCGACCACACGACCGACTTTCAATCCTTTGTCCTTCGTCCTTTTTCTTTTTCCTTCATTTCGTAATCTTTCCCTTCTCTCGTCCACCATTCTTCATTCACTGTATTCCCTCCATTTTTCCCTCCATTTTTCTCCACGGTACAGTCACACTTCTTCGTATACACAACACGCGAAAACGATATTCCGATCTTCCCGAGATTCATGTCGTTTCCTGATAAATAGAACCATCTTTCGATCAAGATAAATTGGAAGTGGCCGAGCGATTAATGGGACCGATGAAACTACAGCGTCCTATTTAGAACATCGATAAAACTTTCAGGCCCCTTTTTACCAAGGTTTAAGAGTCACGAGTTATACCTTGCTTCGATGGTTACCGAACATCTCGAGAAAATTAATCGAGATGCAAAGAAAAATGTTCGACTTTAGATGATGCTTGAGTCTCATTTTTGATTAATTAACGGCGATTTTTTCGATTTCCGTTATACTTGTAAGAAGCATCAGTATTTTCTTCGCGGGTAACCGTTATTGAAATAAAATTCAAGGGAAATAAGATATACCTACGTCGTAGTTTCGTGAACTGTATTACGTAGCCGCGAAGCAACTGTCCGCAGTAGATATGCGCGAAACCCATTTTCCAGTTGTTAAACCTTGCTAACTTGCTAATGTAACTCAAATAATTAAAGTGACGTGTACAGGCCCTACTCTGAGGTTACGGGGACAACTCCTGGATCCTAATGCGAATGGAAGATATAACGCGTGAAACTACCGAGTGAAAGAGTAGGAGGAAAAGGGAGGGAATGATAGAGGGATAGAGAGGGAGGGAAAATGAGAGCAACTGAGGAAGTGAGAGAGAAAGGAAAGGGAAGAGAAAGAGAGGGTTAGAGAGAAGGAGAATTTCAAGCGCATGTAATAGTGCTGTCTAAGTAACGTATGTTTTAAACTAAACTGCTCTATCTTGAACGAACGAACTTCCTACTATCCTAAAACTTTCGCCCCGAATTGCGAACATTTTGCTCAGAAATTAATCATACAAATCATCGTACAATCATGCACTCTTCGCATTATCGTACGATGTACGTATGCTCGATAAATCGTAATTTACCAATGTTTCGTATCACTTAAAAAATACTCATTTGTTTTTCATTTCTTCCTCTTCAAATGAGATCACTTTTAATGCAATCGAATGTAGAAAATCTTTGAAAAAAGTATTCGCGCGTGTATATGCGCGGGTGAATTTACTATGGATAATATCCAATACGATTTCTTCGATATACAAAAAGAAAGTATCGCGATAATACAAAGCTGCCTTAATACCTTGATTGTTCTGATGTTGCAGGAATGTAGCTGCTAACGCCATCTGCGGAATGCACCGTGCAGTATTCTTACGCGAACAATACAACTACAGGGACACGCGTAACGCGACAATGGCGACCTGAAAGCCTGGCGTGCGCTTCTTTGCTCCATATACTTTTGACATCTCACCACTGTTTACTGTGCTCTTTCTGTATATTCGTGAATGTGAAATACATTCGTAATATCATAAAATATGTGACTGGTGAAGTGGAAAAACAAAAAACGAAAAATTGTGCAGATCCAGCTAGTTAGGCGTACGACACAATTCAATGGTGTTGGTCCCTGCCGAAAAAACGGGAAAGCCATGTATATGTCGATATCTTACCAACTATAATGTGCTGGTAAATACACAAATTTGTTTTATTTTTTATAGTTGTTGCTTATTTTTGATCGTATACATCTTGTATACTACTGAACGTAGTAAATGGTTTAGAAAAATGTGTAGGTTAGGTTGGACTGAGAAACTGGCATCAGCGGAATTTATTTTGCTCTCTTTTTAAAAGATTGTCTATTTTTTTGCATTACATTTATCGCTTTGAACGTGTTGTCGTTCAATGTCATGTATTATTTTTACTTAAATGATGATTATTTAAGTTGTACATATTGAAATATTCCATATTTATAGTAGTGTACACAGTATAATAATTTCCAATTATACATGTATTTGCCCAAATGTATATACTTAATAATGTAAAATTATAAATATACTCGCAAAAGTAACAGTAATAAAATATATATTCTTGCTATACATGCTATATTCTTAAATGATATGGATCTTTTCATTTAATAGATATACTTGTAGATGATGAAATTTTACAAAAGTTCTACACGCTTATAATGCTTTTAATGCTGTGTATAAAAATTTATTTTGTAATTTATTAGTAAATGTATGAATTTTATTCTCTTATGAATTTATAGATTTAAACTTCTTGATATAAACAAAATATACTCTGTTATAAGTATTTTATGCTTGAAAATAATTATATAATGTAACGAAATATAATATTTCTTTAATTAAAAATAACAGTGGAGCAGTAGCGAAGACTTATCACCAAAATCTATTGTGGTGCTGATACGGCATGTTAAAATAAGGGAAGCGAACGAGGGAGATGAGCCACAATATTGCAGGCATGCCACCCTTCGCAAGGATGCCTTTGGGGGGTATGGGTATGGGTGTGAATATGGGTCCTAGTGCCCCACATCCTGAATCTTCTGCTCACCCTCATCCTCCACCACCACCACCTACCGGTGCCAATCCAAAAAAGAAAAGACGTACAAATGCAAATGTTGCTCAACCACCTCCACAGCAACCTCCAACAGTGCAGGTAAGTTTTTATATTTTAGTTGATCATTATCTGAAATGGATTACAGATAACAAAATTTTATTTCCATTTCATTTCTCCTTTTCTTTTTTTGATTTTAATACCTGTAAAAAATATATTTTCAGGATTTACTACCTCCACCTTTAACTGGTTATGGGGATACAATAGTAGCAAGTAATCCTTTTGACGACACACCACCACAAACTACGCAAACACCAATGATGCATGGGGGACCACCACATATGCATCCCCATCACCCACATCATATGAGTGGACCACCTATGAGAGGCATGAGCCCTTTAACTTCTATAGGAGGAATGAGTCCTATGATGCCTCACAACATGGGAAGCATGAGCCCAATGGGAAACTCACCCATGACAAATCATATGAATCATATGGGAGCTATGTCTCCTATGAATCATGCACCAATCGGTGGCATGAGTCCAATGAATAACATGGGCCCGAGTATGCCACCTGGTCCAATGAATACTATGAACAATCATATGAATATGAGTCACATGGGTAATTCCCAACTTAGTGGTCCACCTATGGGTAGTCCAATGAATAATATGAACAGTGGTCCAATGGGTAGCCCGATGAATAACATGGGTCATAGCATGGGAAGTCCTATGGGTGGCCCGTTAGGATCTCCTATGAACACAATGGGAGGATCAAATCATATGCCTAATGGACCAATGAGTATAAACAATATTAATAGCCATATACCACCCAATAGCCCACTGAATGGGCCATCTATGAACAGTGTAAACAGTCCACTGGGACACAATGGATCTCAACCACATCCAAATCACATGGGAAATAATCTTAATAACTTAGGTAGGCCCATGAATGGACCTATGACTACCATGAGCTCTATGGTATCCAATAATATGAATATGAGCGGCCCAAATCAAATAAGTAGTATGAATATGGGTGGACCACCAATGAATAACATGTCTAATATGAGTATTAGTCATCACAATCAAATGAGTCACATGGGTGGCCCAATGGGTACAATGACTAGCAATATAGGCGGTGGTCCACCAATGGGCCATCCCATCAATATGGGAGGATCCATGCCACCTCATGGTTTTCAAGGTCCACCGGGAATGGGACCAAAACCAATGCCGGTTTCTGCAGGAAAGGTAGATCAATTTCTCGATATATCCATACATCGCGAATTTCTATTACTACGTTAACAGCTGCTAAATAAGTTTATATTATCTTGATATTACAGATATATCCTCCAGATCAATCTATGGTGTTTAATCCGCAAAATCCTAATGCTCCACCTATTTATCCTTGTGGAGTATGTCACAAAGAAGTGCATGATAACGATCAGGCAATCCTTTGTGAGTCAGGTTGTAATTTTTGGTTTCACAGGTATATAGAAGATTATGTTTCACCCTATATATATTGTTCTTCAAAAACATGTACTTAACATACACGATAAAAATTTGTTATAGGGGATGCACAGGATTATCGGAAACTGCCTATCAATTTTTAACGGCAGAAGTATATGCAGAATGGGTGTGTGATAAGTGCTTGCAATCGAAAAATATACCTTTGGTTAAGTTTAAACCATAACACTTCTTGACTCGTCGTATATGCGACACACGAGTGACTCTTTGTTAGCGTTTACACCTTGTACACGCACACATACGTGTGCAGTTGCACACACATAAACACATACGGCATACACTAATGCACGAGCGAAGTCGTGCATATAATATAAACATGCGCTGTTTGTTAATATCTTAGCTTTAACTTGTTGAAATATTAGGGTATCACTATGAGTCGTATTGATGAATGAGATGGCAGAAACGACATATGTTCGAAAGTTGCATTACTTTATAAGTCTGTTTATGACAAGTGGATTCGCCTGTTTAAAAAAATGACATCATTTGACCTCCGATGTTACTAATTTGTTTTCTATCGTCGTAACGTTGAATACTACATACGAAACGAGTCCAGGGGGCATATACATTTTAAAAGAAAAAAATTTGTTCGAATATTAAAAATTGTACAATCGCTGATGACCTCATTTGATTTCTTACTTTCAGTTGCATTTAATTCAAAATTAAAGAGTCCGTTCTACACGCGAAATAAAAGAAAGGAAAAACGGAAATGTACGTATATGTGATCGACGGTGAAAATTGCTGGAACTGCATATTAATAGAAAATTAAACGAGAACATATATTCTGTTTACTTTATTTAGGTTTCGGGTGAACGTTCCTGATAAACTATAATTGATATTCAAAAGTAATTAACAACGTGTATTACTTTATAAATCATTTCTAGTTATGTCATTGCCATTTGTCATCAGGCTCATCACGTTGATTAAAGGAATCCAAAGGATTAAAGTGGTACTTTTAAAAAAAGGTATTGTGAATGCACATCTAACTATTTAAGAACAGAGTAATATGAATTTCAAACGATGTAAATTGTTCTCATAACGCGATTGTAAATGTTCATATCTATCTTCAAGTATCAGAAACATCGGAAAACTCCTAAATCCACTTCTTCGTACCATTAAATTATCACCGAAGTATTTTGGGTTTTCAAAAAACGCGTTTGAGAAGAGAAAGTGGCGTATGTATCGATAAAAAATATGTATTGCTAGTACTTTCCAAGATACATTCTCAAACGCTGTTTTTTTTTATTCCCGAATGTTACAAATGAAAGTGCTGCGATTCTTGTATTTTTATATTTCAAATATTTTGGTGTAAACCATGGTCAGTTATATACTTTTGAAATACGTTAGTGTTATAGTTTAGAATATATTCAAAATGTAAATAGATCCGATTCTAATGAGAAATTTTAACACGGTATCTATAGAAGAAATATTTCTAACCGTTTACGAAGATTAGTAGGAGATTTTGCGTGATAGGGAAGGTCGTTTAAAAAGCTGAACTTTCTTTTTCATCAGAGCCCATGTATTGTTTCTTACCATGGTTTATGCTGGGGATTAATTCAGCACGCATAAGTAACATATTATTTACTTTCATATGTGGTTCTCCGTGTACCCTGAAAGAAAGCACAGCAAGAATTCGTTTGACTGATAATTTGCAGGGTATTATATTTAAAGTCACGCGATGAACAAATCGATTATGTTCGTTCACACAAGAATGATTCGAAGTTATAAGAAATCTTGATAATAAAAACGCAGGAGTAATAAAAGGAATTAATTTAAGAGTGATTGAAAAATTCAGGCAATTGTACTATAGCGATTAGCATGGTGTTGAAAATATGCGGCGCATTTATGTCTTTTGCAGATCCGTCTTTTCTCGATGCAGTAGTTGTCTTAATTCAATAAGAAATTCGTACGAACATGAATTAAACTCAAGATACTTCGTATATATACCGAATGAAGTCTCATATTTAGTTGCAGTAAAAAAAAAAAAAATTTGTGCACACACTCGTACACGCATACATATATTACATTCACGCTCTTCTTCGTCGAGTTAAGGTTTATTGTTACATCTGCCACAGACTTTTGGTGTCAGTAATATAACAGTATATCAAGAAAGAACTGAGTATTAACGACGTGAATGATTAACGCAGTGAAAAAGAAAAAGAAAAAAAATAACTGAATTCCGTCGGCAGCTAACGCAAAATTAACGAGTCCACGGATTGTGTGTGTGTATGTATATATGTATACACACGCAATTATCATTTTACTACTTGACGCCTGTATTATACGGAGGATTGGCTTGGAAAACTTTCAGAGAGTACTTTAGATTAACTAGTTTCTTTAATACACAGCAAGCTTAACTAGTTATTCTTACAAAGTTTTTACTCGGTTTTCTGGCTTCTCTCCGTGTAATCCACGCTTTAAGCTTGTTTTACTGTAATCCTTTTTAACAAATATTATACATGAGTAATGTACACAGGATCCTATAACTACATAATGCTCATATTAGTATTACAACGAATAGAATACCATCTTCACATATCTTCATTCTATATTTTGTCATGTCATGGAGGGCGAGGGGGGTCACGCTGGAGATCGTTAACGTTGCTTTTTTTTTCTCTATTATGAAAGATTATATATGGGAATGCAGGGGATTAAGCGAATAACGAGAAGATGTTACTCGACGTGGGATGGAAAAACGGTGTGCAACCGGAAACGATGCTAAATACTTGGAGGATCAAGGATAATGATTTTCTAGTACAAACGAATGAATCGTAATTTAAGTAACTACTAGTAGCGTCTATTTTTCAGAAATAACTTATGTAAGTTGTATCGTTTGCGAACGAAACCGTTATGCGAGCACCGAATATTACGTATGCCTAAAAACGAAACGTTATATCTAAATGAAAGGAAAGATTCTTTGACTTATGTTTAACAGTAGCTTAATCCCTGTACAATTTGTTCAAAGCAAATGCATTTCATATGTGTCTGAATGTTTGTCTCATTACACTACCTATAAATTTAGTCACCTCATTGTTTTTCAGCTTTTTATCTTTACGCCGAAAAACGAAACGTTCTCCTGACATCCAAAGCGTGACGATCTATAGATCAACGATTTCACGAAGATGGACACCTGTTGCGCGATAAAATATCACATAATTGTCCGAATATTCGATTCTTTTATTGTTCTTGAAATATTTGTAGAATTCTCCTGAATATCTATTCATTTATTTGTGTACATAGGTCATTTACGCTATTTCAATGGTAAACGCAGTAATGACGAAGCGATACAAAATGCGCGTATAACAATTATGCGTGCCATCAATTTATTGTATCAGATTTGTAAATATCTTCTGTACCGTGTTAACGAATCAATAATGCGTTAAATGCGTACCGCGCCATTTTTTTTATTTTTGCCTAGACGCATGTAACGGCGATAGCAAATAGTAATATTTCCTATTCCTTCCCTAGACAACCATCGTCAGCATCTAAATTAATTATTCGGTCACGATACAAGTTTTGCGTAAAAACCGAGTGTTTCGACGCGCGATTTGGATGCAGAACATTATTATTTTTATTATTATTATTATTATTATTATATTATTCATTATTCATTTTAACGCTTTTATACACGCGCGCGCGCCCACGCACACACACATACACACACGACACACATATATATAGTTGGAGAAACGTATCATGATAAATCGATTATTAACTTTCAACGGAAAACTTTGATTCTATCGATTCGAAACAAATTGAAAGCAAAAAAAAAAAAAATTGAGAAAAAGTGGCATACAAATCGATATAATGTCCCATATTGATAGGAAAAGAATTGTGAATTATTATAATTGAAGGATTTACGCAACAAATTGCTCGTAGATTATTTTTCAACGCGCGAATATTGACATACATACATGTTTATATATACATGCATAGATACATTTCTGTATTTATATATACACACACACACACACACACACACATATATATATATATATGGTGCATATGATAATAAAAATTATTATACATATTGTAAGTACGTTGCATGTACGTATGTCATTATTACGGTATACGATCAAGGCGTGTGCAGTGATATTCTCGATTTTCTGAAGTGTGTACATGTTCATTCATTGTACATATTTATATGACATTTTAAATAACAAGTCCATGTTGATTTTTACATTGTTCTTGTATATATCTTACGAATCATCATTCGTTCATTTAAATACAATTGAATTTTACAATAATTTCCTCTATTGACATAATTAAATGGAAAAATTATTTCTAACGAGTGACAATTTATTTTCATAATTTAACGTATCAAAGTATTTAAAACTTACTATTTATAAAGATGCATAGTCTTCTTGAACGCGAGATGGAAAGTTCGATGTTAAGAAGTAATGGAATCATTAGTAATTTCTTGAAAAAGCAATTCCACATCGTTATCACGATTTTCAAATTTATGTCGGGTTATCTTGAATTTCTCCGATAATGATATCTATTAATCATAACGCGTTCTTGTTAAAATTTCGTAGAATTGCTCTCTCTTCGCTTTTCAAGTGTATGTAGACGCACGATATTTGACAGGGTACGAGCTACGTGGGCCTTTGTGATACGGCAGCTCCTATCGTTCGAGTTTAAATCATCTACCCAAAATTTCTCCGGTATCCTTGGCCGAATATACACCGGCACCTCGTTACAAATTACTTTGAAATCTGTAAATCATAGGTACTGCTTTTGTACGTCTTTCTCTTAGAACCCAAACGTATAGCTCACCTCGCGCATAAAAATATTTTTATCTTTTAAATTCGTAATTACAAAAGTATCATCCGGCACTTTACCCTATAGGGAACAAACAAAACAAATTTACGTAAACTTCAAAGAACGGAATAATTAGATCTACGTAAGATTATCTACTTTACTTGCTTTCAGGCAAAATTGCGACGATTGATTCGCCCACGGGACGTATCTCGTTTCCGCTTCAGAATGCTGATGAACGTGACACCTGTGTCTGCAACTAGATGCACTCTTGCTGATATTATCCGTATACGCGAGTCTTCCGTACAGTCCGTACTTCTTCTCGTCGATGGCTCGCAATGTGCCGTTTTTCTTCATTGCCATATAGATTTGTTCCAACATACCATAACTCTTAATCAGGAAATCCCGTTGTGCTAACGCGGTAACGCGTTCTCTTTCCTCGGATTCACAAATGATCTCTGGCTCAAACGAGTTCAAGGTGTTAGCGGTCGAGGTCGTCTGTTTCTTCGCCTATGCATAAGTTTGAAAGATCGTTTCGTTAGAATCGAGCGTTTCCCAATGAATCGTTATCTCGAAAAAACCGACATTCAAACAACAAGAATTTTTCTTCGATGCAATCGCAGATTTGGTCTTCTCCTGGTCACAGGTCGATACAGGTTTCTGCGTTACGTTCGAATTTTCCGACTGCAACTTCGAGTCGCTCCATTTACCGGACATTTTCTTGCTCTCCTGTTCCTTCATTTTCATCTGTCAATCGTATTCGATAAGCGCTTCTTATACGATCAAACACCAATCCGTCCGTCAAATATACTTTACGTAAACCGAAAATACACCTCGTTTTCTTCCTTTTGAATCCTCGACGCTTCTTCCCGAGCCCTGGACGCTGCAGTATCTTGATATACAGAAATGCTACTTTGTCTGAAAAACGGCTCATACTTTTCACTGTCAGAGCATGGATAGATTCTGCGGAAATTGCCTATGCGCTCGTCCTCCCATTTAAATTGCTTTTGCAGGTAATCTTCTTCCGGCTTATCAGATTTCGTCGTACCGATCGTCGAATCATTCGTGCTACATCGAACGAACAGTTTAAATTATCCCTTGATCCATTACAATCTAAGTAATTTATTTATTAATTTACCCGTCATCCTTAGGATTTATTCCCTGAAGCAACCTATCCCTGACTCGCTTCCTGTCTTCTTCGATGATCTTTTTCTTGTCGCACTGCTGCAAATTCAGCATATCGAACGTATTCGTCAGCAAACCCTCCTTTATATCCTTATCGATTTGCGCGTCTGTATGAAAACTCGGTGAATGATTAACCTGAAACATGTCGCTTAGCCCTGAACTTGACGAAGATAAGAGTATTTTCGACCACGTTATTATCATAGGAAACTTAATCGTTACTTCTAGAAGGTACGGTTTCAGCTTCCAATCCAGTAGTACGTCAAAACCCAATAACTCGAAGCACGCATAGGTCTTATCGTGTGTAGGAAAGCACGTGTGGTAACTGTGCTTCAAAATAGGATATGCTGCCAAGATCGTTTTTATAATAACCTCGTCGATTTTGCGCCACAATTCATCTACATCGATGTCTTTCATCTTGAGCCACTTGTTCAAAGTCGATATTTTCCTGTATCCAAAATATTCGAATTATTCCAAAGAAGTAGCAGAAAACGACGCTGAAGAGACCACGCATTTACCTTTTACTACCAATTTCGTCGTCGATCACGTACATTCGACTGTGCTTATTAACAGCATAATTCGTTAAATGCATGAACACGTTGGATGTATTGTGACCGGTTGGTTCCTTGTATCTGCTTGTAGCAAACCTGAAATGCCATATATATAACAGACAAATTACTTAGATATAGAAGACGTCGAAAACTGTGGAGTAACGAGATGAATTATTACCTTGCCAAGCCGTCATTGTACACGTAAATCCTCAGGGGGTCGCACGAGGTAAGGAACGCATAGATACGAAGATCGAATTTGTAGCCGTCCACCAGGAAGGGCTACAGACACGAATGATCTTCACCAAAAGAAGAGTACAAACGAACGCTTAAAGTTGAAAATGCTCGCATACCCTGGCCACGTAAACCTGGCAAATCATGCGCTCGCTCGGTTTAACATCCTTTAAGTTCCTTGTCAAGTAAATGCCACGCCCTTGACAGCCTGTGTCAGGTTTGATGATGAAAGTTTTGGAGCGTCTCAGTTTGGCGTAAGCTATTGCCTCTCCATGGCTAAACAGTTTAATCGATAGGATAACTTTCCTCGGAAATAACGTTACTTTAAGAAAGAACACGATTTTCTTACTCTGCGGGGAAACACCATGTCTTTGGGAAAAAGTTGTAGTCCTTTGGGAAAAGCTTCAACATGCGATTCAAGTTTCGGGCAAGTAAATCCTTTCTACAGATTTCTGTCATTCCTGGGAAATGATTGACCTTCTGATATCTCTTCATGTCTTTCGCTCGTTCCACGCTCACGCTCAAATCCGTCCAATAAAGGTTCCAGCTGCTATCTTCGGTCACTTCTTTCATCCCGAATCGGGCCGCCACTCGTCTCACCACGTCATACTTGCAGTTACTCGTGCATATAGTCAGATATCTTTAACGATAAACTAAGGAATATAAAAAAACACAGGAAACGGACAAAATTATCGTCGAATATTGGAAAAGTAAAACGTACCTCCGTTTCTTCTTTTTCTTTCCCTTGATCGAGGTTCCTTCCTTTCGCGAGTCCACATCGGTGTCAGCAAACGACAAGTCCGCTACGAAATTACACGCATATAGATGAAACAAGATGCACGAGGTTAGAAATAAATACCTTTGTCATCCTTCTTATCAGCCAAGTATTTAGGAGCAACAGGTTCCTGTTCACTTTTAGTCAAATCAGTAAATGGAACGATATTTGTCGAAGTGTCAGATACCACGAGTTTCTTACACCGGTTTCTGTATACTGTTTTACATGATCGCACTTCGGTACTGGAATCAGATTCACTGGTAATCTCGCCATTTATAGAATAACTCTTCTTCGTATCACTAGCTTCGATCTCGCGCACCACCACCAAAGGACGTTTGTTGCTGCGTTCGATGACGTTCATGACCGGCGTATCTCATTATTTTGCACGATCTGTCGTCGCATGACATTAATTTGATATATCATACGTCAAGCAAGACCGGCATTACAGTTCAATAGGTCAATTTTATTACGAATGCGAAACGTTTAGCCGACTATCTAAGCAAGGAAAGTGTTAATAAGACCCTCGATGGAAAATATGATGCGACTATGATCAATTTATTAGCGTAAAAGGAGCCGAAATTCGATGCTATTTACAAAAATGCCCCTTCCAAAATAAATCATCCGTTTCGCGCATCGTCCCTCAATTGTTTCTTCGTTTCTCGAGGGAAGAATGTAGACTCGATGGAAATTTGATTCTGTCCGAATCTCCACTCGTATCCTAATTTAAATTCGATGTAAAAGCGGTCTGAATGTTTTCTAGTAAAATGCGTGCGTCGTTGCAGCTTTATCGATGCTACTGCGGTACAATCCGCGTGAAACGTTGCCTAAGAATTGTTTCGTTACTTTAATTACAGCGCAACGTTACTGCACATAGTTCGTGCAGTCGTAAACAGAATCACGGAAACAGAAGATTGCCAATATACAACAAACGCGACACATTCGCTAAAACAAACTGTTTTTTATTATCTTTCGTTTCTCTCAAGCTTTACAGGTTCGATTTTATTCTCATTATATCCTCTATAATTTTCACGACGTTCATAGCACAGCCCCAGCTTAACGTCACACCGCTCCCTCCGTGTCCATAATTGTGTATTACCTGCGAAAATCCAACGAATTGCAATTAATGGAAAATTTTATAATCGTCGTTTAGTCAAGTGTGTTTTCGATACCGTAACTTCTCTGCCATTAGAAGATTTGCAAACTTCAGCCTCGATACAAACTGTGTACCTTCCAGGTCTAAGACCAACCCATTCCTTCGTTACTTCAGCATTCTGTGTAAGAAGAGTGATCAATAACTAATTATTATTATCGTTAGATCGAGAGTTCCTCGTGATGATTTGAACTGATTGTGAGCTGTACCTTGAGTGCAGGCAGAATTCGACAGCATCCGGTATGAATAAATTCGGAGTCGACTGTTCGTGGAGTACGGTCGAGATCATTCTCTTGGTGCGTACCTCCCAATACCACATTATCGATACTTTCCACAAGAAAAAAAAGGAAAAAGGAATTAATCAAATAGATACAAATTCGATATATAATTAATATTTAGAGGATATCTTCGATTCGAACATGAGTTATTACTTTGGTATTATGTAATTTCCTTGATCATCCTCTTCCAAAATCCCGTGCATTACCCAGGATGCCAACACCTTGAACGATAGAATAGGTGAAGAAATTTCATACTGCAATATCTCATTTTCTTAGATTACCAACCCTAGTAACTTGACCTCTGATAGATGTAACCGTGTTATCGCCCACAAGCTCACGTGCACCGAAACCACTGCAATTTATTATCAAATCGTAACCATCGTCGATCAGTTCGCGTAGCGCATAAATTTTCTTCTTTTCAAGTTTTCCACCAGCTGCGAGGAATTGTTTCGTTAACCAAGGCAACAAACGTCTAGGCTCGCACGTATATGTCAAAAATGTCCATCCGTGTCTGTATAATTGCCGACGCAAATTAATCATTTACGATAAGATTAAATTATGAAGTAAATTCATTAACTCTACTTGTAGTTAGCCTTATATTCTGCGTTTAATTCCTCCAGCTCCTTGGGACTTAATCTGCGTGCACCGTACACCAATTTTGTCCAACTTGAATCAGGAAATCCATCGGGATTACTGGTAACGCGATATATCGGTACCAAAGAGACTCCGACTTCAGAGGCCAAGCCCGCTTTCCAAAACTTTTCCAACCATCGATGCGTCATTCCACTCCATTGTCTGTCAGTGCATTTGTAGTTACAAAGTGAATAAACAAGCTTAAACTCTACCGATTCTTCTCCTTAAACTTTTGTCATAACGTGTCTTGTCATAATGCGTTCGGGGTACGTATGTACATACATACTCCGCTGTTTCAGCTAGACCTTACCTCTCAAAAACTTCTCGACCTTACCAATCTCGAAATGCTAAATACTCACAGTATTTTCTCATAAGGAGTATTCCCGAGAAGATAAGGACTCCAAAGACCGGCGCTTCCGTCACCAGTGGTAGCTGGTGAGAATTCAGCCGCAAATACGTGCACCTCGAATTGTTGAAGAACGCTTTTTACCGCAAACGCACTTGTCAAGCCAATTACACCGGCACCCACCACTGCCACGCGCATATTTTATAGGTAAACTCGATCAACAGACTCTTAACGAATCTCTGAACGCAACTACACGAAAGCTCCTCCCTCTTCTTGCAGTAGCAGCGTTTATGAAAAATGTGAAAACAAATAAAATTGCTGAAACGATAACCCCGTTTTGTATTGATAAATCACAACAGTTAGCTATACATTGCTCGAAACTCTTCAAATCGTATCGAGCGAAAGATAATTGGAAGAAACAGACAAATCAATCTATTAACATCGCAAATATTGGACATTGTTGTTCCTGGTTAAATAAAGAACTCAACTGTCGATAAATTTTTTAAGGAACCGTAAGATAAATTAATAAAACCGAATATAAATAATTATGTAATATATATATATATATATATAT